TCAAAGAATGTATACCAAGTCCCAAAATAATAACATTTTTGTACATAATAATAACATGATAACATTAATATAGATTACAATTAAGCATTATTGTTTAAATGTATTTCTGTTAATCTTGATTCAGTTTAAAATTACATTGAGTATCAAAACAACTTCAAGACGATTTCAATACATTTTTCTTGATCCAATGTAGAGCATAGTCCGATAAGAGAGTTTTATTTCTGAAGGTTAATAAAAAATATGTTCTCTCACTAGACTATTGGCTATTTTTCAAATCGACGAAAAAGTGTTTTAACAGTTTTAAAACTCATTGTATATCCTTTGATAGATACAGGACTTCAATATTAGTCATTTCGGCTAGGATATTTCAGCTCGGATGCATTATATTTATATATTTTTCTATCATAATTGTAGATGAAAGAGCGAATCTTATCAGTGAATATTGTTGCACTGATTTATTTTGTGAAATGAAGATAATATAGCAAAGTAAATTTTTAAGAAAATGACAGATATTTAAAAATATCTTATGCGCTTGAATCTCAAGCATATACTATCTTACATATATAGTATCTTTAAGGAATGAACCTTATAGAATTTGTTCGATCATTCGCCGCACATACTATCATTAATTGTCAGACATTCTATTTAAGAAACAATTTATTAATAGTAAATAATATTAAAATAAAAGAAAATTAATAGTCTCTCTACTTGATTAAAATTTAAATTTAATCGATAATAATCAGATTTAATTAAATTAACAATAAAAACACGAAAAATATATTTTTTACTGAGAATAAAAATTATATTATATTATATGAAGTCAATACGAAGACTGTTTGTATCATTCGAGAAAGTGGTGTACCTAAAGTGATAAATTCACGATCCAAAGATGTTCCGAGTCCGAGTTTGAGAACGACCAGTGTTAAATGTGAATTCTAAAATATGATGTAGTATGAAATCAAATAAAAATTTCAAGTAAGCTAAATTTCAAATAATGTTCAGTATACACTCTGCCAACTTATTTAATAGTTTCTATTAGGAAAAAAGCAATAATGTTTTTATAGCAATAATGTTAGAATTCCCAAAGAAAGTCACTTAAAATACCTATATATTATAGATATGTCAAATACAAAATTTCGATCACGCCTATATTTAGGCTTTTTGGCGGTCTAAAGATTAATGCGAATATTAATTAAATGTTGAGAGAATAATAATAAAAAAAGGACCCAAATAAAAAATACCAATACAAAAAAATACCAAACAAAAAAGACCAAAACAGAAATTATCAAAACAAAAACTATAAAACGAAAAGTATATGTTAACTTAAACAATGTGCAGATGTTTTAAATTAATTTAATTTAAAAAAGAAGTGAGATCAATATAATTAACCAAGTACGTATATATGTAAGTATTTATTATACAAGTAATTGTGTGACAAATATATTGTGTGATATTATAATGTTCAGATATTTTGAATAAGAAAAAAACATTTTTTTTAATCAATTATGTCTTATGTCAGTGTCCTATGTCAATTTGTTATTTCCTATATCTATAGTTGGGGCACATCATTCCTAGTAGCATATATTGGTTTCATATACGTTTTCTACGTATATGAAACGTATAAACTATTTCATAACCGTCTGTAAAATGTTTCCCAAACGTTTCTAAACAGTATATACTAACTGAGATGTTTTCATGTAGTATACTATAATTCATCATATTTTATTAATATTAATAATTGAACGCTGAAATGTCGAAGTATTAAATTGAGAAAAACTTAACATCGAGGATCAAAAACTCGGCATGCCCCAGTGAATACATCATTCTTCAATATAAATGTTTATAATGTAGTAATATTTTATGTACATTATACATTATGTAATTATATATATTATTGAAAATATACTCAACTATGGAGAAATCTATATTGATGTTTCGTAAGTTCAAAGCTGTGTTGCCGTATAGAAAAATAACTTTTCTATATGAATATATTTGTTATCATAAATTAAAACATTAGTGAAAATATGTGTTGCTTGTTATTGGTAAAATCAATGTTAATTGTTTGTGGATTCAAGATTTTGTTTCGTCATATATAAAATTGAATTTTTTCTATGTGAATATAATAACTCCTATATGTGTGTTCGTCAATATAAATCAAGCCTTATATTTTTTTTACATAAGTAAATTAATTTTTTTTGTATGCTACTCTTCTCATTCCAAATCGTATTATACTATATAAATTTATGTATGTGTGTATTTCAATGTATTCATTGGGGCCGAGTTTTTGCCGAGTTTTTGATTCTCAATGTTAAGTTTTTCTTAATTTGATACTTTGATATTTCAGTGTTCAATTATTAAGATTAATAAAATATGATGATTTACAGTATACTACATGAAAACGTCTCGGTTAGTATATACTGTTTAGAAACGTGTGGGAAATATTTTACAAACTGTTATGAAATGGTTTATACGTGTTTAAAAAACGTGTGTGAAACCAATATATGCTACTAGAGATGATGTGTCCCAACTATAGATATAGAAAATAACAAATTAACATAAAATACTGACCTAAGACATAATTGATTAAACAAAATTTTTTTTCTTATTCAAAATATCTGAACATTATAATATCACACAATTATTTGTGTAATAAATACTTACACATATACGTACTTGGTTAATTATATTGATCTCACTTCTTTTTTTAATTAAATTAATTTAAAACATCTGCATTCTGTTTAAGTTAACATGTACTTTTCATTTTGTAGTTTTTGTTTTGATAATTTCTGTTTTGATCTTTTTTATTTGATATTTTTTGTATTACTATTTTTTATTTGGGTCTTTTCTTTGATACGTACTCGGCGTCTTTTTTTTCTTTTGTAAAGACTTTCAGACTATTTGTTACGACCTCACAGCTTTTTGTGTAGATTATTTAGATACAAATTTTTTACATTATTTTTACAACAAAGAAAATGTATGCACCTTTGGAATTTCGTGGCCAACTGCATTTTTTTATTGTGGAATCATTAATTAAAATCTATTTTATGTGCTTATTACGCACAACGTTTATATAATGTCCATTAGTTATACTTTTGCCATTGTGGAAAATTGTATTAATAATTTTATATATCTATGCCTATATGTATCTTTGACGTAGAACACCTTTAATTTTTAAATTTGTAGTTTTAAACGTTTTGTTATATTAGTAGTTTTAAATAATTTTAAAATAAAGATATTTTTTGTTATTATTTCTTTTTTTTCAATTATACTGCGTTTTCTCCATAAGGAGTACATACTTTTTCTTTATTTTTCCAATTGTTAAAATTGTATTCTATTAATTCTTATAAAGTATATGATTTTTTCAATTTTTCTTACAATTAAAATAATAGAATATGATTTGATTGGATCTCTATATTTGTAGTACATTTTACTATGAAATTTTCGTGTAGTGATGTATCTTTTCCTCTAATGTGAATTTGCAGGCTACGTTCCAATATTTACTACCAGTACTGAAACTCTATACGTGTACGTGACACAAACTATAGATCTTGAGTACTGGTAGTGAATATCGGAACGCAGTCGTAAACATCATTGAAATTTATTATATTTATTAATGAAATTGTTTTATTTTATTTACACGTTTACATTAAAAAAAGAGATACATGATTAATTTAATATTTATTGCGCACATAATATATGTCCATTCTGATTGGTGCAGTCTATACGGAAATCTTTATAATATTTCACCTACGAAAATCTTTTGTTTCTTGCCAATTAATTTCATTATACGTTTGCAATGCGGATCGCGGATATCACAAGCGCAGATTGATATAAAACTATAAGAAAATGTGAAATTATAAATATAGCTTGATATGTACATCTAATGTCGATCATGAATCTTTTCTTCTAGGTTAGCGTAAATTCGTGAATCAATCATTATAAATACATGCTGCTTATTGCAGCCTATATACAGGGTGTCCGGTAACTGATTGACTAACTATCATGTACAGGTAGAACAGGTCAAGATAATCATAAAAGTTATATATCATTTTCAAATTTTCTCAATATTTATTCCGTAATTAATTAAAATGTATAAACGAATGAGCTCACGAGAAGCGGTAGGACAGGCTCTGTGTGCAAAATAAATGGCTTACCTCTTAGCAACGATAAGTAAACAGCTGATTTCGAGGCGGAGTAACAAGAGATACGTATATGTTACTCCGCCTGATGAGCTCATTCGTTTATACATTTTAATTAATTACGGAATAAATATTGAGAAAATTTAAAAATGGTATATAATTTTTATGATAATTTTGACCTGTTCTCCCTGTACACGACGGTTGCTCGATCAGTTACCGGACACCCTGTATATTACAAACGCAATCTGACGGACAAACGCGCATCGCTTGTGTGCATGCGTATACATGTGATCTAAAGCTGAATCGATGCAAATGCAGCTTGATGGACAAACTTATTCGCTTGTGTGCGTACGTACGTGTGTCTGAAAAAAAACTGAGAATCTGCGTGAAAATAAAAAGGACTTTTCGCGGACGAGATTTCAAGATCTCCGTATTGCCTGCACCAATTTTAATACAAATTTAATACAAATTACGCGCGCGCTAAATATTATATAAGAAAACTTTCATCAGATTTTCGATTATAGTTTTCGTGCTTGAGATATTTGACTTGGAAGACCAACCGACCCAGAAATTCCAGATAAGCTTACACGGTCGCGTTATTTTGTTTCATACGTACTCGGCGTCGTGTCGCGATCGCGACGCTTATATTTGACAGTGTTAATGCACGTGACGAATAGATTTTCCTGTCTTAATAATGTACGCGGTAAATTAATCTTCCATGTCATACCGATACTAAATCCCAATTTTTAATATTAATTAATCCTCTCTTATTACTCTATAATTGCACATTTTTCATTCTAAATTATAGTTGTGAAAAAATTCTGTCTCAGTCAGGACTCAAACTTGGATCTCTTCACTTACCGAACGGGACGCCGTACCAGCTCAGTCACTGAAATCTTGACAGAATTTGACAGAACTTCTTTGCAACTATAATTTAAAATAAAAAATAGTTATAAGGTAATGAGGGAGGTTAATTAACAATAATATTAAAAATTAAGATTCGCGATTTGATATAGAATATTAATTCAGCGCGTACGTTATTAAGATTGAAAAATCTATTCGTTACGTGCGTTAACATTACCAAACATTATTATTTTTCCAACATTTATTTAAATATTCGCTCTAACATTAGCGTTAGTTCTTACTGGCCTAAAAGTATAGTTAATTTAAGTTGTATACTTCGAGAGCCTTTGTACTTAGAATTGTTTGTTTGAGTGTAATGACACGAATTATAAATATATTTTTTGTGTTTTTAACGTTACGGAGAAAAGCAAACATGTCAGAATTTTTTACTAAGAAGATAAATTTATTAACATTTTTGTAACTTATTCTCGAATATTTTCTTCAATTAGCTGTTAATAAGAGTTACTTCTTTTAAATTCTCTAATCATTCCGCTAATCATTATAATTTTAATATAAAAAAATATTTACTATTATAATTTAAGTATATTAATTATACGCTTTTTAGTTTAAACAGATTTTTTAATTTATATTAAAATATTTTGCATATTTTAATTATAAAAATTAAGAAAACTACCTGATAGCTGATAAGTATAAAATATTGATAACGGAAAGTTGGATTCTTTGCACGTTTATTTTGCGCATGCGTTCTAACTAAATACATAAAATTAGAAAACATTTGAGAGGTTTGTGAAATTTACAGTTTAATATATTATATAGAAGTCTGTATACATAGAGAGAACAATTTATTGAATTAAATAAATGTTTCTTTAGAATAGTCCAAACAAATTAGTTAACACAACAAAAATATTTCTTTGGAATTAAGTCGTAAATAAATATTTTTGTTGTGTCAAACAAAATTTTGTTCGATCAATCAAAAAATTCGTTTGGACTATTCCAAAGAACCGTTTATTTGATTCAACCAAATTGTTCTCTCTGTGTACTGAGCTTCCATGTATACGCTTAGCACGATAATGCTCGCGATTTTGCGATCTCTACACGCAAAAAATGATTCAGTTGGCATAACCGAATTTTAGTTACGACAACCGAAATTTTCGGTTCCTCAGGAATCAACTGAAAAATCGGTTGCTACAAAAAAGAAATTTTGTTAGAAAGTTTCTGTTGGGCCAAACATATATTCAGTCATCCCAATTAAAATGTTATGAAAGATACAAGTTTCGTTTATCCCAACCTATACTTCAGTTCATACTAATGGATGTTTCAGCTATTAGGAATAGATTAATATTTAACAAAATATATTTATATATTCCTAATCTTTTCATGTCTTATAAGCTACTACATATCGAAGGTCAAACACTCCAAGTTTTCGTGAATTCTTTTTCGCAAATTTCGACCCCAACCGGTATACCACCGGATCACTTATCCATACCTGACTCCGTTAAAGTATTGCTTAATCTGACGATCAAGCAGCCCGCGGCGATTATCGATGACTCTAACGATATTCTTACGACTTATGTTTATATAATGTATCCTTATAATGTTCACAGTATATTATAATATACCTAGTAAACACCAGTTTACTAGTTTTCTGTTATTGCAACTGAACCTCGTATAACAGAGTTTCTAGCTGCCACTACAGAATATGTTTTTGCGTGTAGAAATGCGATAGTGATTGTTCATTCCATCAGTCTCGCGTCTCCTCCGATCCTGCTATCCATTTCGCGACATTTCACATATAAATGCGATATATTACATACGATATATACGATATATTATATACTCTTTTCAATTCTCTCGTTGCTTTCCATTGTTAATACTCAAATCTTTAACTCGAGCGTTCTTAAACAGTGTGGACGCTCCGATTGTTATTCTATTCTTATAAATATTTTAATCACTACTTTTCTCTATACGCACGAGATACTCGATATAGAATTCTAATGGAGAACAGAACGATGAACGCTAAAGTACGGAATATCCTTAGATGTGTTTTAATAATTGCATTTGATTATGTTCACATTTTTTCTTTTCTTCTCACTTCCTTCAAGTTTCAAATACCTGCTTTATTTTAAGTGTAGAAAGTAGCCAACACAACACAACGTCTAAAATCGGGATATAAGACGTCTAAAAGACGTCTTATTTCTTAAACGTTGGAATATAAGACGTCTTATGTCCCAATTTTAGACGTTATGTTGTATGGGATAATACATAGTGCAACTATAAATACAATATCTCTAGATTCTAGCGTCTATTTTTGTCTTCATTTTTAAAGGCCGTTTTAAAATCATTTGAAGAAAAGGCAATTAATTATTTTCTCATAATGCATTCCGAAACAAATTATTTTTTTGTTACGTTATTATTCGTGCATTCGATGGCATAAAATATCTATATACAGGGTGAGTAAAAAGTCTCAGACCGGTGAAATATCTCGAAAACTATTTCCGAAAAAAATGTTTTCTATAAAAGTTGTAGGGTTTTAAATTCACTGATCTGGTCAGTCTGACCTTAAGTGGCGTCGCCAAGGTCAAGTCAAAGTCAACTTTGCTTTTTTAAATAGAAATGTATTTTTTTATGGAATTTTATTCTACGTAAAGAAACAAACAACTTTTGTTTGAAGTTTTTTCATACGATCTTTATTTTTTAAGATATTTGCGGAAATATGTACAAAATTATTGGTTTCAATAATTTCTTACTCAAATTTTATCAACTTTACCGAAAAATGGCAAGAGATAAAAATTGCTTATTTTTGTCTCATAGAGCTCTAAGAATTTTTTCAGTATTTTTTATTAATTTTTTAGTACTTCAAGAAAATGCAAGATAATGCAGTACTAAAAAGTTAATAAAAAATTATGAAAAAATTCTCAGAACTCTATGAGAAAAAAATAAGCAGTTTTTATCTCTTACCATTTTTCGGTAGATTTGAATTCGAGTAAGAAATTATTGAAACCAATAATTGTATAAATACTTCCGCAAATATCTTAAAAAATAGAGGTCGTATGAAAAAATTTTTCAAACAAAAGTTGTTTTTTTACGTAGAATAAAATTCCGTAATAAAAGAAATACATGTTTCTATATAAAAAAGCAAAGTTGACTTTGATCTGACTTTGATGACGCCATCCAAAGTCAGACTGACCAGATCAGTGAATAAGTAATTTAAAACCCTACAACTTTTGAAGGAAACATTTCTTTCGGAAATGCTTTCGAGATATTTCACCGGTCCGGGACTTTTTACTCATCTTGTATAGGAAAACTTCTATTTTGAAAAAAGAATTTCAGTGTATATCAGTAATCGCATTATTGAATACATATGATGATGAGAAACCAATTTACTTGGATGTGCAATGCAAGAAAAATATACTATTTTGACGTGATAATACAATAAGTGAGAATACACGAAGAAAATATGGAACTTTAAAATCTGGTGGCACATATATAAAGATATAAAACAACTTAAAGTAATGTTGTGATAAACGGATCGACAAATTAGTCAAACTTTTTAAAATAACAGTTTTACATTTCCGATAATTTCCCAGACTGTATTTGATCAATTTACTTTTACTGTTCAAGTTTTAGAATGCGAGCGTAGGAAAACAATGGACTAAACACTAGTCTACCACGCTGAAAGCCCGGGTTCGATTCCCAGAGGAAAAATTTTCGTACACTCGCACTCCTTTTGGAAGGCCTGGCAAACCTCCGAGAGTAGTATAGGATAAAGAAATCTAAGGATATGAAATCCAAAAAAATAAAATTGGCCAGTATATAGGTTAAGATATAGGATAAGAAGGAAAAAAGCGAAAGGAAAGAAGTAGATTTAAGAAATAAATAAGTTAAGATTAAAAAAGAATAAAAGAAAAGGTGTATAAGAAAAATGTAAAAATAAGGAAATGTATAAATAAAAAAACTTCCTGGCTGTATAAAAGCTGAAGTAGAAAATAAAGTATTATTACTACTACTATTAAAGTTTTACTACTTTATATTTTTGTATGTACTACTAGCTTCACACACACACATTCGGCATTACATTATGTATCCGTTTTTGATAGAAATTCTTTACTCATTTCCGTCATGCATCTATATTAGCAACAAAATTTAATTCATAATAGTGTTAGTTATCATAATAGTATGTTATGAGTGACGAGTCAATCAATAGACTGACTAATATCTCATAGGATGGTATGTGAGATGACGTCCTGACATGTTCCAGTTCGATATGAGTATAGACGGAAACACATTCTGCGGGAGAAGATGACCTCACGTCGTCGCGTCCTGGCAGGAATTCGCCGAACTATATTTGTCGCCGGTATCCTGACGCTTGTCATCTTAGCGCTGTCAGATCAGGATGGCAACACTTTACAGCAGGCAAATTCGTTGGAGGTGAGTCATGTATCACACAAGAATACGCTAATGACCGGTTTTATCGTTTACGAACCGAGCGTTTTAGAGATTTTTGATACTACCCAAGTTTAACGTATCCTATTCCTAGGATATTTCGCGTATCCTCGTCGCGATACGTGTACGTTCATGTATTTAATAATGTAGAATATAATTTTATGTATAACTAGGTGGAAAATATTTCGGATACAGATTCCGTATATAAAAACAATAAAATAAATTTGTATAAAAATATGTTTAATGAAAAACTTGTTCACGAGTTACAAGTTTTGTTTTCGAACGATTTTTGTCTATTTAATTTTTTTCGCAAGAGGTGCTTAAAATTATTACCTAGTACCTCATAGTTTATAAATAGTTTATAAATTATAGTTTATAAATAAATAATATTATAGTTTATAAATAAATAGTATTATAGTTTATAGTTTATAAATTTATAAACGTCTGGTCATCGATTTCCCTATTCTTTCCACACAACCGAGTACTATATTGGAAATTTTAATGGTAAATAGCCGACTGAAATGAAGTATAACTCTCTCTCTCTCTTCCTCTCTTCCCCCACTCTCTCTTCCTCTCTTTCCCCACTCTCTCTTCCTCTCTCCCTCTCCTCCCTTCTTTTCTCTCTCTCTTCTCCACTTTCGCATAACACTTCAGCTTTCGAAAAGATAACTATAAAACTCGCTATAATATAGAAACAAGTTGTCAAATTGGACATGTGTTTATAAAAATATATTTTATTGATTTTAAATATTGAACTTACTTCTGAGATATATTTTTCATATGTTAAGTTACAAATATAATTTATGGAACTTTCGAAAGTCACATAAATATTTTTAAATACAGAGATAACAGTTTTATTCGATTAATATTGATAGTATCGAATAATCATAAGAGTCTCGCATGTCTGAGTTTACCATTCTCTATTTATAACAGAATCTTATAACTTTATACAGAAAGCGTCGATAATGTATTTTAATTGATGGGTGGATATAAGTGCATCGTTGATTAAGAATACAAAACTCATTTATCAACTTATTTTGATATTACGTTAACCTGTTATTTTTCATTCTATTTGACCGCTTATCGAATTGTGATATAATGCAATTGACACAATTTTATGTTAAAATACACGAATATCTAGATACGATCCGGACTGAAACATAACAAAACTGAAAGACGTTATTGATCAACTTTGTCGATTAATATCGAAAAAATTCGTAAATATTTCGTAAATAATTCGTAAATGTTGATTAATACGTATTTTAATTTTAATTTTAATGGGTTCTATGATTTAATTAATTTTCAATTCATTTTCAAGTAATTTTTCTTACACAAAAAATCTCAATTGCGTACATTTTATAAGCACGAAATTGGGAGACACATACATGCACATGATATATTTCCGATGTATTCTGATGTGACGGAAATGAAAAGGAAAAAGAAGCAACGCGTTTTCCTAATTGTTAGGAGGTTGGCCTGTCATGCCGATGCTATAGCGCGTACAGCGTTCGTCTCACCGCAGCGCGTATGCTGATTGGCCAGTTGGTTGCCGCTCGGTAGAAATCTTTCGTTGTTAATATCTCAAAATTTCACGTGGTTGTTTAAAAAAAGACACCGATTTCATTACTCACTCCGACCTATTCTAACTATTGGGTTGTCGGAAAAGTCATGACGCATTTTTGCAACCAATGGCGTTAGTTCATTGTTGGAAGTACTAGAGTCATTGGCATCTATGTTATTGCTATGTCATTTGATAGCTGACAGTTCTAGCTTTATTCTAAAAAAAAAAAAAAAAAAAAA